CCCCTAGTAGCGTCCTTGCTCCTAGTGGTGGCAACAAGAGTTCTGTGCAACTAGGGCCTAGGGCCTAGGGGATTCACGAGAACTTGAAGGATTCTGTAGCGGCGGTCATGGAATTCGCAGAGGGAAAGCTTGAGGTTTGGCCTGGAATGGAAGTTTATCCATATCAACAGATTGCAAATACAGTATGCAGTCGTATATTTGGAAATAACTCCCATGAACGTGGCAAAAACATCCTAGGAACGTTGGCGGAACCGCAACCACCGTCGCGACAGGGTCCAACATCCGCCATTTACTTGTTCTTCAACGTGTACCCCCACTTCATCCGGATACCAAACCGAGATTCTTTTGCAGATGGGCAAAGTCTCAAAACAAGTATAGAATTACCAACATGATTAAGTCAGCACGTATGTGAAGGACTGTGAATGCTATGGAAACCTCAACGGTGTCGTTTCCAAAACACTGGCAGGAGCAACGCTTTCTGAGAGATCAATGAACCTTCCTCGTGAGGGCTATTAGGTTGAATGGGAGTCCGTTACGATGCCAAAAAACTCCAACCTAATTAATTAACATGCTCCAAAACAATTCTATCCTCACCAAGGTCCATGAACCATCCTCCTATACTCAAGGGTCTTGGGAGAGAACCTTCTCCAAAAAAGGTCTACCTGCCATTTGACCAGTATTTGACCAGCACTGGTTGCGTTGTCATCACTTCCGTGTTTTCTTCGTCATACGTGGTTTGTTGCCATGCCACAGATCTCCAGGAGATGTCCCAAGGTTGGACCCGTCAGGAGAGGATCGGAGGAGGTGGCAAAGAAAACCACCTTAGGCCAGCGACATGCTGAACAATAGGGAGTCCATGGGAGCTGGTGGTCAAGTGGTTCCCGCATGGCTCTGAACAGCGAAGACATCTTGTACTTCTACCCCTTGAAGAACACAAGTAATCAGGTGCCAGGTGGATAGGGGATTTATCACAGTATATAACAAGATGTCAGGATGTAATGCTTGATCTTGCAACACTGCTTTAGATTAGTTTGCGCCTGATTTCAAGACTGCTGTTGAAGGACACTCCTGCACCTGAGCCGTTCGACATTATTGCTAGCTGCTAACTTGCCAATGGGTGCTGTCTTTTGGAGCCGACCAGCCCAATCGTTTCTGCCCATGTTCTTGATTCTATGCAAGTTGGTTGAATCGAACCAATGAATAGTGTCACTGAAATCTGATGAAACTAGCAGCAATCGGCCATCCCACATTCAAAATCACTCCTGCAAAAACTATATAAATCTCTCTCTCTCTCTCTCTGTTTCCCTCTCTCGCTTACAAAGGCCAAATTCACATAAAGTCCTGACCTCTGACCACTGACCCATACTGAACACCTTCATTCTTCCCGCTATCATCGAAGCCCAAGAGACTGACTTGAAGCTGCTCTTTTTCAGTGCTTCGGCTGCACCTGCGGCATCCACACGCTCCGCGCTCAAGAGAGTCTGCAGCTCCGAGCCCAAGGTGTTGCCGCCCACCACCAAGCCTAGGGCAGCATTGAACCCATTGCACCACTGTCGCTTTTGCAGGGTAGGTACACACAGGGGTAGAAATACATCCAGAGAAAAGCTAGGGTACTTGTGGGTTGCATACTGTGATGGGGCGGTACGGGGTGGTTCTTTAGGAGATCAAACAGTGCAAAAGGATCGTGAAGTCTTGGAGCTGCTTGAACACAGGATGCTCTATGTCTTGTCGGCTAGCGCAAATCCGGTCTTTTTGGAGGTTTTCCCCTCGGCTTGTCATTTAGCTCTCAGAGCTGAGAGCAACCCTGTTTCATTCTGGGCAGGCTGTTTTAGTCATGTGCCAGGACTGCTTGGATAATGATCCCTACTCATATCGCCGGTCTCTGAACCTCACAAAAAGAGGCTCAGCTATGCATTTGCCTTGTGATGTCAAAGATATTTGACGAATCCAATGTAAATGCTGTTACCCTCCGCAACTCGAGGATTTATGACTCTTGACTCTAATTTGCTCGACTCTAACCAATACAATCTGAAGGTTCAATTTGTCCATCTCCTACCCGATTCTACCCCACTTATGTTGGGAACATGTGATTTGCTCAAAAACCTCGCGCATGGACAGCAAAGTGGACACCCCAAACACAGCAGCTTCCAGGCGGTCCGCCGCCCGCATCCCTGCCAAGTGGCATGGTGAGGTCTCGCTGAGGTCACCCTGCTCAACCAGTGCCATGGATCGCCATTCCTCGGCAGTTGGCGTCGATCTCGGACAGTAGTTGGTGCTTGGAACTCGGGAGTGGAGCATCTATTGGGCAACGTTGAGGCGTCTACCATCTACCACAATGGACGGCATTTGAAGAGTTCTTTGTTGACATCATATCCAGGGCCCCAGTGAAAACCTGTAAGTGGCCCTTTGAGTAGAGTTTCGGAAGATTGGTTGTATGAATTGAGGTCGTAGAATCGTAGAATATGTCTCAATGTGTGCCCCTTTGCATCCGTAACGCGACCTTAGAATTTGAGGTTTATATGGGTTGATCTGGGGGGTATCTTGGGATTCTATCAGGGGTTCTTCTGGGCTTACCATAATGGTGATATATGGGAGTTATCACAGTGAAAACGGGTGTTGAAATCCTTGTCCCGCTAACAACCAACACATGAAACCACCTTCCAAAAAACACAGACAAACTCACAACACTGGCACACTGTAGAACCGAAGCGAGATGCAATTGATTGAGCTTTATAAGTATATAAATGTGGCTGAAAGTGGGTCCCGATGGGAAAAGGGTGGCTTTGATAAAAGCGAACATCCACAACCTTGGAAACTAAACTAAACAAGAGGGTCTCGAAGAGAAGATTCCAAAACCAGGGGTCCAAGTTGTCTTTGTCGTATGCATCAATTCATTCAGCTTTCTCTGGCTCCAACTTCGATCGTTTCTTCAATGAGACCAAGGTTCGGTGGAGAACCAATAGCCCGAAGACCACTCGTGGTACATTCGGTGCATGGTGCGATTCCAGTTGAGCTTCTCCGCACCTGATCAACTCAAATCCCTGGGTGGTGGAACTAAACCACCGCTAGCGGGGTCCAATCACCCTGACTTGGCCGCTTGATCTGTTGAGCGTCACTCAAGGTGAACATGGTTTGTAGCTTCCCCCAAAGAGCTATTAATTTTATTGTTTCTAATAGCTTCTTGTTACTACTAGTAAGGCACCTGTTACTACTAGCGTGGCACTTGTTACTACTAGTACAAGAATGAAGTTGAATTCTTCCAGTACTACTTTCTTCCTGCACGAGATTTGTTGCACCACTCCACAATCAAAGAAAACCGAAACCATGAGAAGATGTCTCCAAAAAACATCATGATCCTGTACTGGAATGGTGATAGTAAGCTTTGCGTGGGCCCCGAAAGCCTCACTGCAAACAAACCGATTGAAAAGCCCTTCGGTGTGAGGAGTCCCGCAACCTGGCCGACTATCGAGTGGGTGCCAACCATAAACAGAGGAACCATTCCCCAGTTAAGGCAGGTCGCAACGAAACGACATCCCCCCATAGCGGAGGGAGGATTGATTGGGCTTTACAAAAGAAAAGCACTAACCAAGACTATAGATAGATGCGCAAGATGCACAAGCGCGAACTGCGCTCAGTCCGAGCAACACTAGAACGAGACATACATAGATTCGAATTGACCGGTTGCAGGTGAAGCCAATTCAATCATGTGGACCCAACTCCAAAAAGGTTGGTTTCCCAGCTCCCAAATTCAATTTCAATGTATGCCAGCGCCCACTCCAAATCCCCTGAATGGAAAAATGCCTGGCCTCTCAAAGGTCTATATAATTCTCGTAAGTATCCAACAGCATGATGTGAAGCAATATGTACGGAGATCATAGGAGATCTGGTATTGATGCGAGAGAAAAAAACGTTCGGAGATTCTCATCTCACTCCTCACCGATTTGACCTGTGCACGATTTGTTCGCCCCATCTATGTCTATATATGCAGCATCCCTGGCAGCATCCCCTATCTAACCTATCTCAACACACTCTCAACACACAGCCCACAGATACCGTATTTTGCAGTACTCGACCGAGCTGGAATACTTGATAGATTGCCAAAGCAACAGCTGGCCCTCTGAGTCTGACCCAAGGCGGAATATGCAATTCCACGCAATTCACAATTCTTTGGTTCTTTTAAACCATCCTTGGTCTGTGTGATCTCATTCGACTACATCTCTTTATCCCTCCCCACATCTCTGACAGGCCACGCTCCATGGGGACATCGCGACCCTCGCCCTTTTTCGGAGCTTCCAGGATGCCTCATTGTGACCGCCCATTGCTGACCACGTTCACATGGATTGAGGGTTCATGGAGATCTGGACAATCTTGTCTAGTGCATTTTAGCTGCATATCAGTGGGTTGGCTAACTGTGATACCGAAGTTTAAAGCAAAAGCTGGAAAGGATGAGGATCTTCTATGTGGTTCATGAAATTTGTTCTTCGACCAACAATTTGATAAGACCTTCTACAAGAGTTATTGCCTCTAAGATCAAAACACAATGCCTTTTTTGGAGCGCAAAGGTTTTGCACACCGAGAACCCTAGTCTTGTGAACCAAGTGGGGAGGACCGTTCTCAGTTGGTCAGATAAAGGCAGGAAGATGGATTGGACCATCTGCCACCGGGGCAACATATAAAATTGGAATCCCCAAACTTCGCTATGACAGTGGATCCACTATCTGACAGACTATCTCAACTGGTGCCGGCCTGGACTTCTCTCTTCGCTCAAATCAAGTCACTGAAAGGGTCTAGTTCATGAAATCCTACCTAGCACAACGAAAGATGCACCATTCATCGTAAATACCGTGAGCTTCGCCGGTTGAACCCGCTGAAACCATTTCAGATGGTCCTCCAGATTCCTTCATCAACAGGTTGGTTGGAAGAACCCTTCCCAAATATAGATGGGTTAAATACACAATTTTCCAAACTATAAGTAGTTTAAATACAGTTTGAAACACGATTTATCTGAGCTCTGCCGGGCGGCCGTGACTGTTGGTACCTGAGAAGCCAAAGGAGGAGGTGCCGGCCATGGCCCTGGTGACCTTCCAATCGATGATGCTGCTGGGCATGATGACCTGCAGAAGAGAAGAATCAAATCTTCCTGAACGATCCTTTTCCCAGTCGCCATCACCTTCGAAAGAACAACTTCCAAGCTCTGAATATAGCATGGTTGAACTCAACAGTGAAATCTTTCCTATAGCATGGTTGTATACGTTGTATAGGACTTGAGGCTCCCTGCATCGGTCTTTGCATTTCTCCAAAGCCAGAATTGTTCATTCTACATCATTCTACTGTATGTATATATATATACATAATTCGTTGAGCTCGTGGATACCCTGGCATACCTGGCCTCTTTAGTGCTGGTTGCCCTGGGGTCTGTTGACAAGGTGCAATAGGGTTCAGTTGCACCGTGTCTTTCTTGGTTCTTTCTGCCTTTCTCGTTTGACCATTGTGCTCAGCAGCTGGGAAATCGGTGAGGTCGATGTTGGGATTCATCTTCTTCAAGTGAAGGTTCTTTGGCACAATCCTGGCCAGCTAGGCATGGCAGACTTTTTCTGAAGCTTTGAGAACAACTCTTAGCTTCATCAGGAGATGCGAAAAACTTGCATTTCCCACAATGACTAGAATCCTTCTTCGCTTTGATGGCTCTCTGACGTGCTACCTCTTTGGACTCATTGCTCTTTAAGAGAACCTTTTGAATTATGTCTTTATATATATAATATAATAGTATATAGTTATATACTCCCACGTGAAATTGTGTGGAAGTTCAGTAGGTACCAGCAAAAAGGAAATCAAACAGCCCTCGGTGGCCGGGAGACTGCTGATGGACAGTCCATCCTGCTTCACGAGATGTTTCAGGGCGATGCTCTGATTACCCATGGTCAATTGGAGCTTTGTGTGGAGTGTAGAGTATAGACTGAGTCTCTCTTTTGGTGTCTGGGGCCAACATAGGCAAACTGTACGCTCATCGGCAGCGGAGCACCCTGCAGGTGTTTATGTGTGACATCCAAGACTACCCGGAAACCAAAACTGACACGGACCACAAAAACATGATGAAGACGCTCCTCCTCTGCCGAAGAGGCTTTTGCGGATCAGTGAAGTCCTCAATGAGCTAGATTGACCTTGTTCCTGTTGAGATTGTTTGTAGCATCTTATCACTTGAGAGCCTATTCTGCCCTGTAATTCATAGAGACATCTTCAAACCTTGCGCAGGATACCAGGAAAATCACTCTCCCCTGTGATGAGGTTGGTGCTGATTTGCGATGGCTGATCTACCAGCTCGAGTTCTTTCACATCCACACCTTGGGGGTGCTGACACCCTGTTTAACACCGCCTCCGCAACGGGAAACCAATCACCCTAAAGCGTCGGCGGTGCCTATAATTGAACTCTGCAATCATCTTGATGAGGCCTGCAGCCATCTCCGCCAGATCCGGCACGTGTTCCGAACGTCGGTGTATGAGATGATTGAAAAGGGTCTTCGTGGTGGAATGTGTCAGGTAAGTCATAAGGAAGCAAGAGCAAACAAGAAGTACATGGGAGATTAATATGATGAAAACAAACCATCAAATTATATATATACTATGTATATGCCAATAACCTATATGGACTGGCAATGTCAATGAAACTACAGATAGGACACTGAAGTGGATAAAGAAGATACTGAATAAGACAATGATAATGAACAGAGCTCCAAGATCTGCACCCAAACACTCATAGCTGAAGAAAGAAAGACTGCGTGGTACAAGTTATATACTCTACAAGAGCCATGAAGGACATACCAAGTATACCGTGGTACACCTTGGAACTATAGCTTGGTGGTTCACCTTTCTGTCCAGCCTGGTGCTACTTGCTAGCACCAAGTACCTTTGGGGTGTGTACTTTCATCGGGGAGATTTTATATGTTTGTTGCTTTAAAATTGCCAGGCGTGGGGAAGGAATCAAGAAGTAGAGAAACATAGAAGGAAAAAGGAAACGAGTAGCTAAATCAATCTACAGTAAGGAATATGTGCTAAATATATAAAAGAAAGAGACGCAAACCACTAGCAAGGAAAGGTCGCAGTATACAGTATATATAATTACAGTAGAAAAAAGAGGCAACTATTATATAACTATTTCAACATAGTTGTGTGGCAATAAGTATTGAAATAAATCTCTTAGAGGATCAATTTAGTATGGGAGAACTAACAAAGAAAAAGGAATCAACAAATACTCCAGGAGACTAATCAAGTTTAAGATGCCTAAACATCATTGAAATGTGTCATTTTCATCGAAAAATGTACCGCTCACTGCGCTCCCCTCTCTTTAAAATTGACGTTTCTGGGGTCTCTTCTGTTTAAGCCACGCCCACGAAGGCATACAGTGATAAATGTAATAACGCGCAGTGATCCGACATGCTTCCGACTTGAAGTATCTGGCCTGTATGGGAATTACAACGAGGAAAACATTCACCAAATGACCAAATGATACACCAGACCTCTCAGACCACACACTGAATCCATTGATGGTGTCAAATTGCAACAAAAAAAAACGTTAAACCGCCTTTGGACACCTCTTGACTTGGGTCTTGCAAATAGATCAACCTGGGGAGTACCAGCCAGCATATCTACAGTACCCACATTGGGCTTTCAAACCCCAACCCACACCGCTCCAAATGCCTGCCACACCAGCAGAGCCCTCTGTGTGGCCGATGATAGACTTGGTGGCTGCCAGGATCAAGGGATTGTCGTCCAGCCGTTGCTTGCCCAAGGTGCTCTTCCTGAGCTCGTTGGGGGATGGGTGGCTAAACATAGTCACTGGCAGAAATAAGGGAATTCTCACTTGGGTTGCCTCACATCTGCATGTTGGAAGACAAACAAACAAATTAATGAAACAAACAAGCAGGCTCGGCAGGCTGTGCAGAATTTCCCGGAAAATCAGGATCCTACAAGGCGAGTGCTTGTGCTTGACCCCCGGTTGGAACCTCCTGCGGTCCTACCCCTTCTGGCATGGGTTGCTGGTAGTTCTTCTTCCAAGCACCTGCGGTCTCTGATAACATGCTAAAGGACTGTACAAGTAGTACTCAATACTCAACCCACATCAATCTCCGCATGTGCCGCGCGTCCCATCCACCGTCTGGCACCGTCCGGTTTGGCAGGGTCCGAGCGGCATGCCGCCCACCTCGATGGGATCGCCCAGTGCGGTACCGGTGCCGTGCACTTCAACCATCGAAACCTCCAGGCCCTTCGCCGAGGCCTCCTGCAACAACCCAACAGCGTTGGACCACGCGACGTCTCAGGTCGCGTTCAAAACGAGATGAGTTTTGGGAGTTTTGCTCATCCTGACAATCAGAAAGCCAAGAATCTCTGCTCTCATCTGCATGCCTGTGCAAGATTATTGAGGTTTTAGCCACCAAGATGGGGCTCGTCGTGCTTTATCATAACCTTGACCGCCCTCTTACCAATTCTCTCTTCTTTATTTCCGCCAGCTCATCCTGACTCATGCTTGTAGAAAACAGCCCACCCTACACCAGGATGTCTCATCCTCCCCCCCGCTCACCTGCAGGGCCGCATTGATACAGCGCTGCTGTGCAGGGCCACTTGGCGCAGTGATGGTGGCTGAACGGCCGTCCTGTGGGTCGTCAAAGTGCCACACGTTCCACCAGACATTCACAGGATTGACGCCGGCTGTCGTTGACGATGTTGACGGACAAACAAAAGAAAGGCCCTGGTTGACTTTTGGAAGGCTATGAAAGTCTGTGCTGACAAAGCTTGTCAATGGAGATGACCATCAATGAAGGACAGCTACAGTATTTGCTTGTTTCTATGAGACAAACCAGCACATTTAGGAAAACATCCTGGGCATCTCATGTCCCCATGGTTTAGTTGATTAGCAACACCCACAAGCACAGCTAGGCAGAACAGGGCTGACAGCAAGGCGAACATAGAGGTAGGAAAAGGCCAGCAAAACTGGTCCAGCTCATCGAAGCTCTTTCAGGATGCTAGCGTCGCAGGGGGCCAGCTTCTTCTCTGATTTAGTGGTCATAGTATTTTGGTCATGGTGAAATTCTTGAGCCATTTATCTTGTGGAACTACTTTCTTGACGGATGAAATCCAGCAATCCCCAGCTGTGATACAAAAGATAGGCTAAAAGCTGTACTACCAAAATACTTGTGAATGATAGACACTACTTGAGTTTCATTCGAGGTGTTCCTTTTACCCAGGATTTCCACTGGCTGCGGGGTCTAGTCGTCCTCGCCTGGTTCACGCAAACGCCCAGGCCCATGGCCAGCTCTTGCTTGCCATTCTGGGAGCAAGGAGAAGTGTGGAGCTGGTAAGTGGCGGACAATCTCGACTGAGTGGATAATCTTCGTTTGGGTCCATCCATTGCAGCTATCTTGGTTGTCGCAAGATGAAGAACATGGATCGACAACCACTGCAACCAATCTCTTTGGGTGTTGGGGGCATTCACAAGAATGTCTTCAGGTCACCTGTCACTTCTGGAATGGCACCAGTTCTGCGGACAAGTGACTCATGACCTGTGGCTTTAGGTCGAGGGGGGCTTGAGGTCCCTAACATCCAAATTTCTGGGTCGAAAATACTCCAAGAAGTTTTCTGTGAAAGCTTTTTGGCGAGGCCAACGTTGCGATTGATGACTTGTTGGAGGGTGCTTGTGTCTAAGTCTAAGCTGATGGAAAGGACCCAAGGCTTTCACTTCTCAGAATCTATGTCGATGAGCAAACCTATACAGTAGATCTAGTGAATGCTCGGAGCTGTCGCCCAAACTCAACATCCGCCCTCCTCACCAGAAACCCTGTCTCCCCACACCCCTCACCTTCTCGGCAGCGGTCTGCAGCTCCAAAATGATGGAGCCAGCGCCATCTGCACGGGTAAAGCCGTTCGCAGACTCATCGAAGGTCTTACAGCGTCCATCCGGCGACAAAGCCAGGCCCATCTTGCAGAAGCCCACCTTCAAAACGCTAGAGCGCGAGACAGTGTAGGGATTTTAGGAGGGTGTGCAGGAAGGTTCGGGAGCTTTGGGCTCAGTATGGTCAAGTACATTTCTCGGAGGTTTTGTACAGGTTATATCCGGTCATTCCTTTTGTGGGAACACATGCATGGTATTCCACAAAGAAACAAATAATACCGCGAAGCCACCGAAACAAAGATGGCAAGCAGCAGGCTGAGGCTACGAGATTGCAGGAAAACGAGCTTGGTTTGTTGACATGTGAACAAGTTCTTCAGCACCTCGGATGCTTAGAACCCATCTGACCCCTGTTTTTGACTGGACATAACATATGCATTATCTATACAAATACATTGGATGACATTGGATTGGATATGATTGGATGGTCTATCTTCCAAAGCAGGGGTAACTCCGGGTCTGGGTATAAATAGAATGGTGTCCGTCATGTTCCCGAGCAGGATGATACTGCTCGATCAATTTGTGTTGATGTAGTGGAGCCGGTACTTAAACCATCTCAAAGTCTTTTTCTTGGAGCTGCTGTGGATGGGTTGTTAGGAGATGAATATGTGCTTGAAAGCTATGAATTAACAACACAGAACCCCACAGCTATCAGGCATTTGACCGTTTAGGCCTTGTCTTTGCCACGCCTAACACGAGCTAGCCGCTAGCCCAGTACATGTGCCGGAAATCGCCGGTGTGTGCAATCTTTCAGAAATGAAGGGACATCTGTCCAGGTCTGGTCTACAAGGTGCAACAACTAGTAGCGCAACCTGGGAGCCCCTCACCCCCTACGCCCGCGAGGTGGCCCTGGTCCCCCCCCGTCTTGACTGCTGCAGAAAGGCCCACGTATTGGGGCACAACTGCAAATTGCTGCCAGCGACCTGGTGCTGCTGGTGCAGGCCGCTGTCTATATCGGTCCTTCGTTTGATTGCATTTCTATCCGTTTCATTCGAAGTGTTGCAGGGATTTTGGTGGATTTGGAGATGTTTGGGGATGTTTGGAGAACTTGGGATTTGCTAGCATGTCTGGTTCATCGTTCGAGTGGCTTCACATAGGGACTGAAGCGAAAGCGAAGAAAGTGAAAGCGTTGGTTTCCATCCACTCAACATTTCCTTTCACTCTCCAAGATTGGTGGTTTGGGAATCCAATCACTGGTGGGTTTCTGGCAGCAGGGCACAGACCTGTTAAAGTTAGCGGAAACTATTGACCTTCCCACTTAGAGGAAATTCCCAAGTTCAGATTCAGGATCAACTCAACTCTGCTTGTTAGTTTTTATCCCAAGAATCAACACGCACCACAAAGTGTCCCATTCCTGCTTCAGTGTCGTCCTGATTTGTTGATCCCTCGCAAACTTCGGACACTTCCCCAGCCGCTCCAGTCTCGTTCCACTTCCCACAGCCACTGTAGTGCTACCACGCCCAGCGGCCGCGCTCCGATCGCACTTCCCCAAGCGCTTCCCTTGCGCAGCGCAGTCCAAGGCCACCAGGGTAGACCTCAGGATAGCAAAATCCAGTTACTGTATGTATCAATTTGTCCATCGATCGGTCTCGACACATAACCTCATCGATGTCTAGCTACCCTATGCTACCCTATTCATGCATAAATCCAACTGCTTTTCTATTGAACGCTTTGGCACCCTAGTGATCGATGTCCAGCTTCTTGTTCCTAGTAGTAAGGCCAGGAGCTACTAGTAGCGTCCTTCCTCCTAGTAGCGATGCCCTTTGCTCCTAGTAGCTTCCTAGGCCATTCATTGAATTCACCACTCCAGGCTTCCCGGCGAGCAAGCAGTGTCGATTGTGAAGCATGGCCCCCGCAGCCCAAGCGCGTGCGACACGCGGCCCGAATTCCTCAGGGAGCCGGGTTGCCGTCGCGGAAGGTCCCCGGAAACGAACGGTTAAAGCTCCTAGTAGCTTCTTGTTCCTAGTAGTACGGCCAGGAGCCCCTAATTAGTAGCGTCCTTGCTCCTAGTAGCGATGCCAGGAGCCCGTAGTAGCTTCTTGTTCCTAGTAAAATTTGATTCACGTTCCTGTCTGCGTTTGGTAAAATTCGAGTCAACCCAAGCCCTTGCCGTGAAGATTGGAGAAGTACGAAGTACCCTTCCGTCTAAAGCCATTGCTCATGATGTCCCAGAAAATCGCTGGCCTGAATGGTATATTTCCTCATCATGCTCGCCATGCGATTGGGCGGCTAGACCATGTCCGGGGGACCATGCCCGGCAAATATTATGCATGTATTTGTCAACCTTAATCACATTGGCCAAAGAAGATTCTCAAAAGCGTTAATTAGCTACTTTCCCGGTTAGGCTGCCTCAATGTTCAAAGAACCAGGTTATCCAGGTCGTTCTTGGGGTCTCTGAAGGCTCAAGTGAAGACCCATCAACACCCAACGACTTATATATGTGTCTAGTTTGGAGTCTTGACGAGACATCACATTTTGTTTCATACGGTATACAGCTGGAGTCTTAAACACAACAGGTGATTTCCTCTTTTGGACGGTCATCTACTGGGCTCATCTTTTCTGTCTAACAGGGTCCGTGAACGGGTCTAGCACCCCTGTTGATTGGTTGGAGGATGTAACCCACCCCCCACTCCCGCCCAAACTTCATGCCACTAGGGTTCCCAGATGGGAAGGAGCCGATGTTCGTGAAGGGACCAATGTCAATGTCCTGGAGCGAAATGGTATCTGGCGACGTCGTCCCACCCCAGAAAGCTTCAGAAAGCCAGAAACAAGGCTTGGATGCCGGGGTCATGCATTGTCTTGTACAAATGTGATTCTGTTCTTTTTGAGGTGGATGAAATTCATGGTTTATCCATACTCTACAGTCGTGTCATCTGTTTCTGGGTCAACATCGGTCATAAGACAGTTTCCTTCATAAAGCTGTCAGGGAAGACACGAACTAGCTAAAACTCATAGCAACGGCAACAACACTGTAATCGTGACATGTGGTCACCCTTGAGATGTGGCCCTTGAGAGGTATACATTAACCTTAAACATGTGCTCGTCATTGCTCTACAGAAATGATACTCTGGTTGGACGCCATTGCTCTTAGGCTGGAGGCCATCGCTCTTAGGCTGGAGCTCATCGCTCTTAGGCTGGCGGCCCATCGCTCTTAGGTTGGAGGCCATCGCTCTTAGGTTGGAGGCCATCGCTCTTAGGCTGGAGGCCATCGCTCTGAGGCTGGAGGCCATCGCTCTTGGGTTGGAGGCCATCGCTCTTGGGCTGGAGGCCATCGCTCTTAGGTTGGAGGCCATCGCTCTTAGGCTGGAGGCCATCGCTCTTAGGCTGGAGGCCATCGCTCTTAGGCTTGAGGCCATCGCTC